TCTAACGAATATTGAAGTGCATTAACATTGGTAGAATGAACGTGTATTGAACATCAAATGAAAAGAGAATATCATTGTCCTTGCAATGAACAGCATCCTCTGATAATATTTTCAAACAGATTGGAGAATAGAGCAGTTACAAAAATCAAACAAAGCCTGGATTAATTTTGTTTTGGTTTAGGAGCCTATGGTTTCGTGTCGAGTATGAAACCTTTTTTGCACATGGACTATGTTAGTAAGATTTTGGACACAATCAGCTGTCAGTGAAGATCAGAGGCCTCGAAACTGTATATATATATACAGAACGATCAAAACGAGCCAGGTGTAAAACTCTATTCTAATATACTGTATCCTTCAACTTAAACTATTTAATCTTTCTTTGGCAATATGTTTGAATTTCATTTTCACCCACATCTTTATATGCCCGACTGGACATGGATCTGTACAAGAGAAGAAGCAAAAAAGGTAATTGTGTTAACTGTTCTGTTCCTCACTGACAAGCACAGGCCTCTGTGGTGCAGCGGTAAGCCATTTCACCATCACACACAGAAGAAATGCATTCGATTGGCTTGTTGGGAGTTTTTAATCAAAATAATGTCTCCTTCTGTTTGCTGTGACATTGTATTCTTCTCCGTCCAGGTTGGTAATGACAGGCAAGCTGGAAGCATCGTGCATCCTTAATTATATAAATTGTGTTGAACAGGGTATAAAATAAATATGCAATAGAATGCAACAGAATCAAAGACAAAAATAATAGCCCTAGGAATGACATAGAAACTCTTTTATGTCAAATATAATATACTTCCTCCCAACATGATGTGTCTCATGCTATGTTATATAAGCTGGGCTATTTATTTTGTTTCCAAGAGACATAAGCAAACATGGTTTGGAGGATACCACTGATTAGTGGATCCAATTTAATTTCTTTCCTCTCGTTTTTTGTATGCCTATCTTGATTATGTTCCCTGCACTAAATGACCATAATTGTGAAGATGCGCGTCTCTGTACATTTGTACTCAAACTAAACTGAACTAAAAAATTAGAAAGGCATGAAAGTAGATAATTACCCTAATAAACATGAAATAAGACTGGTAACTAGAGCAAAATGATGTGGTTGAACATTTTCTGTGGAGATTTGTACACATTTTATTTTTATTTCATTAATACTTCACAGAGACAAGTCAATTGGCAAATCAATAAGTAAGGAACAGCGTGATGAGGTTTGAAGATTATATGTAATGGCATTCTAATCGAAATAATAGTTCTCAAAAAAGGTCCCATCACTGAAGTAGACCTTTTTATAGTTTTGTATCAGATTCGTTGCCTCCATTTTGACGCTTGGAAAGTGGTGAGCACTCTTTCTCGCTGAAATTCAAAAAAAGGACAGGAAAAAACTTGTTGATCATCAAAGAAAAGGATGAAAGGTTCGAGTCATTTTGGTGCATGAACTACCTTAAAAAAACATATTATACATGAATATATTGTAATATAATATCTTTGAGAACACTTTCAGGAAACAAATTAATGAATTAATCAATTTGTCTACTAATAATATTGAATAATACCTTCACTACAAATAAATAAATAATATGTCGTCTAAAATTTTTTTTTTTTAATCCTACCTTCGCTGACAAAGAAGTTGGCCATGTACTGGCCTACAGCCACCGCGTGAGCATCGTGGTTTATGACGTAGTTCGGATTCCAGTTGAAACTGCTCTTCTCGGGGTGCCACTGCACTCCATAGAATGGATACTTCTTGGCTGAAATAATGGGATAGTCACGGATGTTTCAGTCACTAAAGATGACAATAAAAGACGATTTCTATCCATACAGTAAAAGTAGGTGTACGAGTATATAGTGTGAAATTGTTTTCTTGTCATCAACAAAGAGGGATTTTTTAATAATTTTTTTTATTGGGGGGGGGGGGGGAGTTTTTTGAGTTTGGATTTCTTACATATTAGTTGCAACGCCATCGTCTGCCGAGAAGAAAGATAGATCTAGTTACTCACGTATCTACTAGAAATGCAGATATTATATAGTGACAGTGCAATAACCAGTTATATTTTGGCATGACATAATTATTATTATCAAATCTCATCAGTTTTAAATACCTTCCACGGTTGAAATAAACTCAGTGCCTTTCCTGTCCTTGTTTGTTGACAATTTGGTGAAGAAACTTGATAGCTTGCTTGACTCAAATACCTGAAATGAAGAAATTAATGCATAGCCAACTTCCTTCATAAAGGGGGGGGGGGGCTACACCTGAAGGCTATCTCGCTTATTACTGGACTGAATTATACCAAATTTCACCTATATAACAAGCATAGTAAGGAGTCTTAAAATCGACAATCAAATTTGAGAAAAAGTTTTGTTTCCATGGATACGGCGGCCATATTGGATTTTGTTGACATGTCTTACGTAATGAATACCGCACTTATCACTCATGGAATTATTTTTTTTTTGTGCTTGCGTGTTCACAAACATTAGATCTAAAAATTTGTCTATTGTTTTTATCCTAAACGAGTTAGAAAATTTTTAATGAATTTTTTCCTGAGGTAGCATTCAAGTTTGCAAAAAATCAGCGAAAATCCACACTCCAGACACCACAAACAAAAATCTATTCCAAATATCAAAAATTCAACAGACAAATTTTTAGTATTACATCTTCTCTTCATTCTGTGAAAATTTCATGAAGATTGGATGAAAAATGGTGGAGTTATTCAAAAAGGTATAGAGAAAAGTCGCGTTTTGAGAAAACGGCCGATAACAAAAATAAAAAATACTGATTTTATGAGGAAACGGCGGTAAAAAACAAGCCCGGTATGGGAAGAAATACTGTTTTTGGGGGTTCTTATGCGATGAAACATTTGTAGGTCAGGCTGAGGAAGCTAAAAGTGCCTACAGCTCAAATTCCATAATTTTGAGCCGAATTTTGATTTTGGGGTGTAGCCCCCCCCCCCCTTTGCACCTCCTATCCTTCGTGCGCGCTTCTCATGAACAAAGAATCTGCCTTATCGGTCAACGAGTAAGAGATCCACCATGTG